AACCCTGTTTGATATTGGAACTATTGCAGGAAAGCATAATGCCTGAGGACAAAAAGGGGAAATTCCTTGAGTCAGAAGATTCAGAATTTGAAAAGGTTATAGACTTCTACATATGTTCTCAGAGTGACGTTTTCGTTCCAGCCATCTCCGGTCTCTTCTACGCGAATGTAGCTGGAAAAAGAATAGCTTCAGGCAAGCCACAAATCCTTGTTCCAGCTGATATACCGGGCACATCTGCCCCCATCACCAATTACCTCTCTCCTTATGTTGCAAAGAAGAACCACTTGGCTTATTCATGTTTTTGCTAACCCTCCATTTCAAAGAAGCCATAGAAGAAAAAGGTGTCATTTGAAACATCCACTTGTGAAAGCCTTGATAAAAAGGTTCTTTGAGCCTCCTCATTTACCTCAGTCTTAAGTCTTTTTGAGTAAGTAGTTGGACAGATCAACTTTGCTGTTCATACTTCATTGGGTGTGAAGAATTACCCTTGAAAAAAAAAAGTTATGTTAAGATAAGCGTTTTTTTTTTTTTAATTTATTTAATATATGTTTTTCAATAGGGTAGAATTAATGTTACACATGCTTTGAGTCAATATGTCGTTTGATGTGATGCAAAACAGAAATTTCATTTCTATAATTTATTCATTGTTATAAGGGCGCACATGTTATAAATTTCCTTTTCTTTTAGTATTTGATCAAGCAAAAAGATGGTTTTGTATGAAGATGATTACTTTTTTGTTTGGCCGAATTATGAAGATGATTACTTAGTGACAAGATATTGTCAATATTTAGATCCCATGAAATTGTAAGAAAATTCTCAAACTCAGAATAATTATAAAAAATATAAAAATAAAATAAAATCAGAAGAAGGGAAGGGAACAAATTTGATGGGTCCGAAGGTTTAATAATAAAGCACATGCCACACAGCCCACATGGTCATGGGCTCACCAGCTCATGGCTATGGATGCCTCACAACACATTCACCCTGTTTACTGTTTACTTTGAGAATGGAATTAAACCTGAAGGATATATTCATATGCTACATCTACCACCATATGAGCTCCTTTCTCCCTGCAATTCACCGCGGGTCTTTTTATTTTCTTTTATGAGTAGTTGATAATTCATCTTAGGATCTAAACATTTGAATTTTCAGAACTAAGTTTTTTTTTTGCTTAATGCCATTTTTGCCCTTTGAACTTGTATGATTTTTAACGTTTTGCCCGTTAAATTTTAATTTTGAATATTTTTGCCCCTGAATTCTCAATTTGGACCCTTTAATTTTAGTCCCTATTAGACGTGTCAGTCCAATCCTACTCACGTGGCATTGCCATGTTAGACCAAACCGCTAACGTGGCATTGTCACTTTTCATTTTTATGCCATGTCAGCGGCATGACAATGTCGTTAGACCAACCGTCTCATAGGGACTAACAAGGATCCTAATTGAGAGTTCAAGGGGATAAAATGTCCAAAATTAAAGTTTAAACGTCAAAACCTTATACAAGTTTAAAGGGCAAAGAGGGCATGAAGCCATTTTTTTTTCAGAATTATTTATTTATTGAGATTAATTTCTGCTTACAAAATAATATGAGGATGAAAAATGTTCATTATGCCAGCATTGGTAGGAAAATAGAAGTTCCTTCATTTCATGCTTTTTCCTTTTCAACCAGCTTGTAGCACTCGTAAGTTGTTAAGTAGGATAAACATAATCAAAACAGGTTCCGCAAAATATTTACAAAAACCACTCAAAGAAAGCAAATATAGATGAATAAGAGATGGAAAAACAACTTAATTCTTATCCAAAACAACTTCTCCCATGCCATCATAGTTCACATCTCGTCGATACTATAGTTCTCAAACTTTTGGTTGCTACTCCTAATAGGCTCCTGAACTAAAAAAAGCTTTGGAAGGCTTATGTCCTCTGTCAGCAGAGGTTTACTGCCAAGGTTGCAGAGAAAAATTATTTATCTTGATTTGATTATGAAATACCAATTTTAAACCCTCCCCTGTTCAAATCGTAATATTTTGATGCCCCCCCTCCTCCTCCTCTCTCTCTCTCTGTCGATTTAGGTATGAATTCTGAGTTTTCATCTTTGATTTAGGTATGAATTATTGTTGTATTATATTAATAAACCTTCACTTAATTGCTTGGTTGAAGATTTTGTTGTATCCCTGATTTCATTAGGAAATACTCTAACCTCTTATATATATAAATAAATAGTCCTAGTCCGTTTGGGTTTGGGTAACCTTCTCTTAGGCAGTTATATAAATAGTTCTTGTATGGTTGAAATTAGATTGAGAATTATCTTTTCTCTTAATCTTACTTAGGTCTGTATCTTTGGTTTTTTTTCAGGTCAGCAACAGGAGAAGCAGGGGAATTTACCCGATTTCAAGTCTTGTGTGATTATTAGTGTGAGTAAGCAGCAGAAGTACTTGAAGATTAGGTCACTCAGGCGCAGCAAGATATGTCAAAGTTGTTGAAGCTAGCAGAGGGTGCTGAAGCTTTGCCATCAGAGTGCTGGGAATTGGCATTCAATCGTCTTAATGAGGATGACTTGAAATCAGTATCTTTGGTGTGTAAGGATTTCTTGGCAACCTCTAGTCTTCTCAAGAAAAGCTTGAAACCTAAACACCATGATGTGAGATTGCTTTCTCGACATCTCAAGCGCTTCACACAACTCAAGGAGATTGATTTCAAAGGCTTTGAAGGTTATTTAGATGAAGCCATTTGTGAGATTGCACGCTCATCCGGACTACTATGTCTTGAAACCCTTTGTTTTGCTGGAAAAAGTTTCAAATCTCAAAGTCTAAGAGAGTTGGGATTAAATCCCAACATGAAGAAGAATTTAAAGCATTTGAATTGCTTGGGAACGAAACTTTTGCACGACAATGATCTTGTGGTGATCGCCAACTCGTTTTCGAATTTGGAACAACTCAATATAGAAAATTATTATCCTAGCAGTAGGCCCATTTTCACCAATGATGGAATTAAATCGTTGGCGTCAAAGTTGAAGGTATTAAAGAAACTTTCTATAGCTGGTGTACATTTGTTTTCAGATCCATCTGTTATTGCTTTGTCATTGAATTGTGCTCGTCTAGAACATGTTGAAATAATGGGTTCACCCCGGTATAATGATTCAGTGAAGGTGACGGAACATGGTATTGGCCTTCTTCTCCGGAATAGGCCTAACTTGAAATATCTTTCCATTGCACGTATTAAGAAGAGTTGGTCCAAAATTACTATTGAAAATTCAATTAGCCATGCCAAAAGTTTAACTTCCCTGGGCTTTTATTGCATGGATATTTCTGACAAGCTTCTGATGGAAATCCGAAAGGCAAAGCTGCAGTTAAAGCTTTTTCAGATTGGAAGGTGCAGTGGATTTACTGTTTCAGGGTTAGTTATGCTTGATTCTAAATATCTCCATCACTTTGCCATTAGTGATGCAGATATTGTAGATGCGGATATGGAACTCATTTTGAAAGGAGATCATGTAGCCAATCTTACTTGTGTTGACATCGCAGCCTGTCCAGTGACAACCTCAACATTGTTCCTACTATCAACCCAGTGTTGTTCACTAGTAGATATCAGGTTTAGAGGGGCAAAACTGAATGGAGAGGATAACAATATTCCATTATCCAAAAATCATAAGCTCCAAAAACTTGATCTTTGTTATAGTGATGTTACTGATGAAATGCTCGAACGAATCGGGCTTATGTTTCCTTCCTTGAAGCTTCTTAGTTTGGATGGATGTTCCCGAGTCACAAGCAGGGGAATTGAAGCTATTTTGAAGAGTTGCAAGAATATTACAGAGTTGAATTTACGGGGATACACAAAAGCAAAGATGATGGAGGCGAATTCAGAAGTTGAACAAGTTAATAATTTGGAGGAACTAATACTAGAGGATTCAGCCATTGATGATGAGGGGCTTGCTGTGATAGCAACAAAATGTCCTCAATTGGTGCACCTAAATTTGAATGGTTGCCGGGAAGTGACAACAAACGGCATAAAACAAATGGTCAAAAACATCAAAACTTTGAGGCGCTTGACTGTTGGTTCTGATCCTGAAAAGGTAAATTCTATTGAGTTTTTGGAATGGATGCTATCTACGGGTTATTTAGCCTCACTCAAAGAAATTCGTTTTCTTAAAGAGAGCATTCTGACCATTATGCCCGAAGGACTAGATAAGGCATTCATGGACCGTGGTTGCATTACGTCGTTTTTTGGATAGAACTAGGTAGTTTCTTCTTTAGTCAACTTAATACTTGGGGGTGTTTGGTTGGGGTGATCTTTGATCACCTGTGGTGATCTTGGCAGGTGATCTCAGATCACCCCGTTCGGTTTTAGTAAATCTTAGTTTTAGTTTAGTATAATTAGCTTAATTTATTTATGGATATTTCAGTCTGCTGTTTGAGGACTCATTAAACTTAAAGTTTGTCATGTTCATTATTGGATGGTATGTAAAAGTGGCTTGACTTTAATGAGGTCAGGTGCAGGCACTCCGTCTTTGCTCCAAATGCTGACCAATGAAATGGCAATGTCCCATTTGGCTTATGTTTCTAGCAAGTATTTAGTTGCTGAGAATCATACAAGATAGCATGCCAATTCCACTATTGAAAGAATACACCAGAGACTGTGCATTGTAGAGCCAGCGAAACATAGTGAGAAAATCCAAGAGTGGCTTCTTTGTGTCAACAAGTAAATCAATCTCCAAGAGCGGAAAGTCAAGATCGGAGAACTTCACTAGACCAACCCTTTTAGAGTTTTAGTGCTGAAAAAACGGAGCTTTGGGGGCTTAAATCTTAACTTTAAGAGGGTAGCTATTGAGGTCCGCTAATCTTAAGATTTAAGAGGGTAGCTATTGAACATAAAACTAATTGCAAACTCTTGAGATCAAAAAGTCCTACAAAATGTTTATCGAAACGGATTCACCATTATCCCGGAAACTACAATAAGAGAGATATAAAGTGGTGCTGGGGCTGGAAATGGTGAAACCCATGTACAATGCTATGTGCGTCCAGCGGTTAGGATGCCAGGCTTTCACCCTGGAGACCCGGGTTCGATTCCCGGCAACGGAATTTTCCTTTTTTCGTACCTATATTCTTTTGCAATTCATCTTTTCCTTGTCTACATGACTACATCTACACAATTAATGAAGAAAAAATTTTCATGTAATCTTTACATTACAGAGAAAACAGAGTCCCTTGGCTTTGAGTTGAAGCTAATCTAATTCTAGCCCTTGTTAATTCCAACCAAAACACAAACTTGATGTTAAGTTAAAGCAAATTTGTAAAGTAGCTTTTCTGTAAAGTAAATTTAATCAAATGGAAACAAGAATTTAATGCATGACCTTCCTTCCTCTTTTAGGTAAGCAAAATTGTACATCAACTGACATCATTTTTAATTGATAAACACTATGAGAAACAAGAAATCATCAATCCAAGAGCCTTTTTCTTTATTCTAATGTATCAAAAATTGTTTGAAAACCATGTTCTTCTGATAAAATTACTTGGAAGAAGAAAAATTTCTCATCTTCCGAAGCCTTATATAAGTCAAAGCAATCTGCAGCTCTGGGGCTTCCCATATTTCGAGCCTCGTTTCTCATCTTCCGAAGCCTTATATAAGTCAAAGCAATCTGCAGCTCTGGGGCTTCCCATATTTCGAGCCTCGTTTCTCATCTTCCGAAGCCTTATATAAGTCAAAGCAATCTGCAGCTCTGGGGCTTCCCATATTTCGAGCCTCGTCGCCAACCTCATTGCATTGGTTCCATGCCTCTATTGCCGGCCTTACCTGGATCCCCCACTGCTGATAAATACTCATCATTTCCAGCACTTGCATGCCTTCCCTTCCAAAGAAAAGTCACCAAATAGACCAAGAACAAGAGTGGAGTTACTTTGATTTCTTGCTTTAGCCATTTCACAGAATGAAATCAAACAAACTTCGGCTCATGTGCATATCACATCAATATATATATGTTTATGGAGGGAAAGGATCAAAGGAATATGCATTATATTTATTGGGGTATTACATTTACCTTCTCTAGTTCTTTGCCCAGTGTTTAAGTACACATTCTGTTTCATAGAATTGTTTGGTTCGATGCTTAAGCTTCTTGTTGAAACTGATTATCCTACTCCTACCATTAAGAAAGGGACAAGTTCAGAGACTAAATTTTATTCAATCTTAACAAATAATTACAGAAAAAAAAAGTTCACTGAGCCTCTTCTAAGCTTTTAAGTAATAGCTAGAAGAATTATGACAAAAGTTAGTAATAACAACTCCGCCAGTGAATTGATAGCCACCTTTACTCATATACCAAAATTTCTACACTTTATTTTATTACACCAAAATTAGGCTTATCTGAAGGAAGACAGATTACCTATTCATAGAAGTACAATTTGTAGAAGCCAACCTAGTAATGGAACCCCTATCTGATCTTCTGAGTTTTGGAAAAGGGAAGGATTATGAAACTTCTTAACATCAAGCTAGTGGTGCAGAAGTTTAGATTGAGGGATCTCCCTGACAGCATTTTACTTCACATCCATTCTACCGGAAATCAGATTTTGCGTTCGAACGACTCTTCTCTCAAGAGATGGAAATGGGCTTCTCTTCCAGACCTCATCTTTGACAAATACCAAAGGAGATATTGAATAAGCAGGTCAAAGATGCTGATTCTGTGTAAAGGCTAAAATATGGGACATGGCATATTTGTCAAATATGAGATCTGGAGGAGTAGCCCATAACTCTTGGAGAGAGTGGTTCGAAACAAAACCTGATTTCCGGCAGAAAGAAAAGGATGTGAAGTAAAATGCCGTCAGTCAGATCGCTAAATCTATCCTTCTCGACCACTTCTTCTTCGCCCTTGTTTCCATGCTCAGGAAGCACCGGCGGCACCGGCGGTCATGAAGGGATTTAGTGAAAGAAAAGGAAAAAACCCTAGCGAACTGAGAAAGGACACAAGAATGCAACTTTTTTTTTTTGGCAGAAACACAAGAATGCAACTTTAAATAGGCATAAAAGTTAGAAATTTGGATAGGCTTTAAACTCTAAAAAAGTCGTTACTGATTACATAGACCGACGGCTCCATTATGGGCCTGAATACCCAAAAAGGATAGAATTTGTTCTTTTTGGGCTATTGGTTTTAGCTCTCAAGTTGTCTAATTTAGAAATGGCGTCTTGGCCCTGCTTCGTTTATGTTTCTAGCGAGTATTTAGTTGGCAACCAAGTGTTTCCAGATTCAGTTAGCTTTGCCAACCCAATACCAATCAGTTGGGGAAAAAAAATCTGGATTTAGCGGTAGTTTTTGCTACAAATTGTATGGAAAGATTCAATAACCTTAGCACGAAAGTTGTTGTCCATTAGATTATTTGCTGATTTAATAAATGGGTATAAATAATCGTATCATTAGATTAACTGAATAAATGGACATCTAACATGACAATTTAGTCTCAGGATTCATGAAAAGATGCTTTATATTCATTACCTGATTCTTAACGGTGGAAAGTTTCCAGTTTGGTCAGCATGTGGCTATTTTTTATCATAAATTTAACTTTTAACGCGTTAAATCATGCGTGTCTGTCACGTTCTAACGACAGACCTAAAAAGGTACTAAATTGATCCATTTGTAAAACGTTTGGTATCAAATTGGACAAAATTAAAGGTTTCGTACTAAGTTGAGATTTTCTAAAAAGGTTTGGTACCAAATTGAGATTTCAGCCAAATTTAAAACGACATTTGCTTTATCCTCGGTTTGGAATAGAAGATGATTTGTTCCTATGTCACGGCTTAGAATGAACACAGCTTTTCCTTGCAATTTTCTTTTTGTTTGGGAGTGGAGCTGCCCAATTCTTATCCTTGAAAAGACAGTACAATTTCTTTACTTGTATTCATTGGTAGTTAGTAGTAATAAAAATGAAAAATAAATAATATAAGCTATCTTTACAAGAATAAATAAAATCAATGAAGAAACTCTTTTATTGATGATGGAAATTGAAAATGAAGAAAGAATTTCAACTATGTATGAAGAACTCAATTCATGATCAATATAGTAACCGAATGGGTGATGAATTGGAACAAACCTTTTTGACGTTTATAAACAGATACATATAATCAAAGCTTGTTAGATACAATCTCATTAAAAATTTTCATTTTCTTACAAATATTTTTATATTTAATCATCATTTAGTAGAAATTAGTGCCTTTCTTCACTTAGGCAAAACTCTTTAATTCTCTTTCCGCTGTACTTTTAACCGAGGCAAAGGGTTGCACCTTGATAACCCTTATTTACAAACAAAGCATTGCCAATTCTGCAGCTGTTAAATTGTACTTGATTTCCAGGAACAAGAAACATATCAACTTGAAGCATTCCGAGATCTCCGGTAACGTTTAAATGGCCTGGTGAAGTATGCAGCCAGTGGAGTTTTGGAGACGGGTATCAGCTTTCCCACGATTGCGAGAGGCCAGCTTCAAAAGATGATAGCAGTCAGAGAAGGTTTTTCTTTTCCCTCCTTTTTTAGCCTATGTATGTTAGTAAAGTGTCCTTCCATGCCAAAACTAATTAAATTGGATGGTTCTAAACCTAGACTGAGCAACTACACACTAATTTCCAAGACCATCGACCCAAAGAACTGTCCATTTTAGTAAAAAAGAACTGATTTGTGTCGAAGAATCTTTACTGACATCAGTTAGGATCAGCAACATAGAGTAAGATGGATATTGGGACACACTATGAAAGTAATTGGATGACTGAAGAGAGAGCAAGAGAGCGCTACCTGAAAATGCCAATACCAAGGGATACAAGCCATAGCTTCCAGTTAAGTTTCACTGTTGAGGTGAAATTTCCGAGGAACTCGATGATAATTATCTATGAAGAAGTTGGAATTAGTATTTCACATAACCAATAAGAGATCAGTCCAAACAGAACAGCACAGCCCATGGAGAAGGGACGTAAAAATAGAAAAAGTAAATGATAGATCACCTGAAGAACAAATGTAACTCCGACTATTGCCATAAAGAGGTAGTTTTTAGTCACGCCTTTGAAGCAATTTATTTCTTCTGGCTTTCTAGAATTAAACTCGTTGAATATCTGTTGTAATTTAAAAAAAAAATAAAAAAAATCAATAGGTATTCTTCAGCATTAGTTTATACTCTCCTCCCATAAGATAGTGAAACGACATTAAGAATAAGGAAGACCTTTAATCTAATTAGAGAAGTGAAATTAGTACACTAAATTCAAAAATCAACAAAGGAATATCAGACTTGTCACTAAGTACTTACTTGACACATGACAAATGCATTGAATATCAAAGTATTCTTCACTTGAACAGCATGTTTCCTATCACTGTCATCCTTCAAATGCAGAATGGACAGGCCTAAGAAGTTGAGCGTAAGGAGGACAGTAACTTGATACAAAGCCTGAAATGACATGTAAAAGGTGATGAGAGAACAGGGAACCATAAAGCTGTATTTCTGAGACTGCTATCACAAATTGAAAGATTAACAGAAGTAATTAGTTGTATAATATGAGAAGCCAAGAGAAGAGGTACCTGTATGAGTAAGTTCCTCCACATGATGTTTGTAATTAAAGGTTCCCTGAGAAAATGAAACATTCAGATCAACAAGACTGTCATATATCTACTAAACAATGGTACATTCAGCGACTTATATCCAAATCATATTAATATTTATGTTGTGGAAGCATCCAAATCATAGGAGCTAATGCATTACAAATTTCTAAAATTCAACATAATCAGAGTTGTTTGGCAAGCTCGAAATATGAAAAAGTTCAAAAGAGAGAACATAAATACTAAGAGAGGGTTATCACATTTATGCAAGCTGATACTAAAATAAACTATAGAATTATATGATTCTATATAGAATACACTATGGAAAGTTAACATCAGAAAACGAGTTCAAACCTTCGGCCAACTGGTGTCCTATGCATAAGGTTGTCTGTTGGTGGTTCAGTAGCCAAAGCAAGTGCTCCAAGAGTATCCATGATCAAGTTAACCCATAGTAACTGTACCAAAAAGTTTTAAACATTCAAACTTCCACTGAAATAAAGAGACATTCAAATGTACAT